TTTTTTTTTACTTTATTTGAATCGGATCTGATATGCTTTCATTTCTTTCTTTTTTTAAATGTTCCCTGTTTTGCCTGCAGGAGTCAGATCTGTTTCTTTTGGCGTTAAAAGACAGATCTTCCATTCCTGTTGTAAAGCCAGCCCGACACAAACTGCCCTCTGCGGAGCAAAGTGAGTACTCTCATTGTCATTTTTTCATAAAACAATGGTTATGTACATTCATGTTTATAATACAGCTTCATTCAGTGCAGATACTGTAATAAATATCACATGCAAACCGATAGTGGAGAGCAGGCCCGGGCAGAAAAAAACGAATTTAAATGTGGAATTTAAAGTGCCATAGCTGTGCTTTTGTATATCCTTTAAAGTTTAACTTCATATACTGTAAATTACTTGTGCCAACCATGCAATCCATTTAGATTGATTTCCTAATGTCCAGGCAGTTATTAGTTTATTTCAATGAATATCTAATTGCATCGTGCAGCAGAGAGCTAGTCCATTATAGAGAATTTGCCTTTAACCATTACATTTGAGTGTTGATGGTGTTGATTGTATAATGAACTTTCGTGTAAGCAAATAAACCCCAGAATAAAAGAAAAAAACACAAAAATACAGACAAGAATTTTCTGTAAACTGGACCTGCAAGTGGGTATTTGGGGTCCAAGAACACAATCTGGAACAAAGTCGTAAAGACTCACTAGGGGTTTGAGGTCATGGCTAAATGTATGTTTGTTTTGTACTGATTATCTATCTGTATAAACAGAGTGTCTGCAAACTGATTTCCTTAAAAAGAGATTGACACTAAAATCGAAGGTTGTCCGAAAGAAAGAGCTCTTAAAATCAAAGGGATAAGTGGAAAGATGGTTGGCAGTAATGTAAATTGCAGTACTGTAGGCAAAAACACGCAAAAGCAAGGGTAAGGTCGCTTTAAAATATACATTTTAGTGAGGATGTGCTTCAGCTCAGGCACGCAGTGGATCAGGGTGAAATGTTGTGTAATCCTGTGCGAGGTAGGTTTAATCCAGTGCTCCTCGAGAAGTTTGTTTTGTTATTTCAAGTGTGTTCAATTAATTGTATAGCCTTTATTTGACATGGTGTTCATTTGTGTTTCTGTAGGTAATTTTAGATACATGATGGGTAACCAACCATCCACAGTTCCTAGCAGCTCAGCATATATTGTTTTTAAAAGGTTGTTTGGTAGCAGAAGTGTTGCTTGTTTCCATTAAAAGGTTGGTGAGAGGCTTCGCGATGATTCAGAGGTGTTTGTTTGCAGAACCATGCGGGGGTGAGTGAAATAAATAATCACAGTCTGTATTTAAAATATTAGAAAATATTAGTTGTTGGTTAGTAACCGAAAAGGTTTTGTTGTCAACATATTAAGAAAATCAAAAAAAAGTTGTTGTACTTTTATAAGATGCCCCAATCAGAAAAAAATATCTCACACTTGTAAGCACATAACAAAATCAAAAATGCTAAAAATACAAAACAGCCCAAGGAGTACGTTATGTTAGTAGAAGCTTGTTACACAACAATATTGATAATAATATCAGAAGCACACTCTAAAAAGCCAAAGGGGTTCTTCAGATTGAAAACAATAGAGGACCAAAGACGGTACCCTGAGGAACTCCGTCCATTGATAATCCATGACAGTATTTCCACAAACCTCGAAAACAAAAAGCTTCTACAAAAACAGTTAAGGTATTTTCATTGTTTTGTTTTTCAAGTGAAGAACCCTGATGAGCTTTTGGTTTTTAGAGCATACATTTTGTTAATTCAAGCAATTCTGAACTTACAGATCGGTGCAGTTGGCCCCATTGAAATAGAACACACTGTACAGTTATTATCTACAGTTGGCGCATTCACGTAATCACAAGGAAACTAAAAACCATGTTATTGATGATTGCATTCAGAACATCATAGGAATATCTCACCATCCACCAGTTGAACGCTGGTAAATATTTTTAAGAGGCTGGCAAAACCTGCCCTTTTGACAGGAAAGCAACAAGCACTGAGAGGTTTAGTTCTAGTCCAAAAAGTACAAATGGCTGGTAAATAGTTCAAATGGTCGAAGGAACTTTCTATCAGCCATCACGGGCTTCCTGCCCTGACATCCGGTGATCTCGATAAAATGGAGAGAGCGAGGAAATACAAGTTAATACTGGCATGGTAACACAAGGTGCAAAAATAATGTGTAAAAATGAGTTTGTTGAAGAATATTTCACTTAGTGCTGCGTTGGTGAAACATGTTCTGCACTTCAGTCCAGATGTTTGCAAGTCCTTCAAGATCAAATTAGGTCCAGTTTCAGGTTCCTTTATTGGATGATCGTGAGACGATGGCCTCTGTCCTTTAGCCAGATTTTCAAAAATATGCAGTAAATGGCTTGGTATTTGTTTTTTTGAATGGATACAATCAATCACTTTGTATTACTTGTTTAGATTCTGAATTGTCTTTATATTCCAAGGTGGTCTTTCTTTAATTTTTTTCTTATGGTCATGTCCCTCCATCTGAAGGCACCGTATTCTTCTTTTATGCATCACATGTAGTGGAAGTGGTATTCAACTTTGTTCACCCTTAAGGTCACCAGAAATGTTTCACATCATATTTAGAGAAATAAACCAGTTTGGACTGGGTGGGAAAATACATATGTCTGTTTCCAAAAGGTAAGACAACAATTTCTCTTTGTTTCTTGGGGACAACAACTTGTGCTCATATTTAGTTATATAAGCTCGTTTTTCCCGAGTTTTGCTTTCTGCAGATTCTTTTTTTGGTAACCAAAAAGTATGTAGGCCTACCTGTGTTTTTGGGGGACACCTACGGAAGAGGATTAGGGTCAAATACGATTTTTTATTTAAAAAAATAAAAAGTTTAGTTCTGAAAAAGTCAGAATACCGAGAATAAAGTCAATCTCAGAAATATTATTTTTTATGATTTCTTTTCTCAGAATTCTGTCTTTTTTAAATCAAAACTCCCCAAATTTGTATTACTTTTGGTCGAACTTCCAGAAAAATTAATGTGACCCTTGTCCTCTTGTAGACACCGTTGATCAAATCTTTTTCTTTGGGAATTCCTCCTTTCTTGGAGTTCTTGGAGTATCGGATATTCTTTGGGCAATACACAATTTAGATTTTCTCAACTTAATACAATTTTTTGAATGTAATTTCCCACCCAGTTCATTTAACATTTCCACTGATAAATGTCCAGAGGTACGGTAGCTCCCGGGGTTCATCAAATTCAAACAAGCCAGTTTAAACAAAATACTCTGTTTCCCATAATGCACCCTGTTTGGCACCTTTCAGCATAATCTCCTTTGCCAGCAACATATAGGGTCACATAGAATATGAAGCATGAAATACAGTTGACATATATTATAATTCAAGCTTATACGTTCAAATATACTTAGACACTTGCAGGGGATAATTAATTGGTTTTCTAAGAATAATCAAATAAATCAATGGGAAAATTGCAATGTCAAAAGTCAACCATTACCATGCTTAAGTCCAATCCAAAACAACGTTGTAGCACCCCCTGCTGAAACCCTGTTATCCACAAACACTAAAGGCTTTTAGTAATTTTTGCAAAACACAAAGGTAAAAAGACACCTGTAGTTTTTGTTATGATGGCTTATTTAAAGTTATTACAAAAGTTTATTGTAGATAGGAAAGTCTTCAGTAACCTTCACTAATGCACTTTTCCTGGTCAAAGAAATGCTGGATTGGGGCTTCAATTTACAACAAATCCCTCCCCCTGCATATTGATTTTAACCATTGACACACCGACACTCATTAGCTATTGCACAGGTCATGCACGCCTGTCTAAGACACAGAAACTGCAACCATATTAATGCTAACCACTTCCGCCTTTCTGTTACGACTCATGGCTTGTATTATGTCAACAACCCAAACAACGGTGCTTTTTGTGCAAAAACAAAGCGATGCAAGACTAGTGTGATTTTTTGGAATATAGTAAAAAGGACTCGTCGCGTTCTCAGGATTCCTAAAAAACCTGAACTGTCCCATCAAACGGTTCGTAGTGTTAGCATCGAGCGCTAACCCCTTGCGATAAATCCGCAGGCACTGTTCCCTTCACGTCTGGTCCCTGAACCGTTTGTCCACTACAGCACTTCACACATTTTTTACTCACAATATGACACAAACACTTCCTCTGTCAGGGAAGAACAACACACATGTCCTCTTAAATCCACCTCTGAAGGGCACAACGAAGGGAGGATGGAGGTGATTGTCACCAAGACGTCAGGACTTCCATATGTTATTCTTCAGATATGTGATTCACCTTCTTGGTGTTTTTTTCTCCTCGAGGAAAAAAACGTTCTCCAACAAACACCTTCGATACAGGGGGGGAAAGTCTCTCTACCTGCAGGGGAAGTGGATGTGAAAATAACACAGGCTGAGTAACTTCCTCTTCCCCCACTCTAAGTGCTCTCCTACTCATGAGGCGGCCATTTTGAAACGCCTGTACCTGCCCCTCCCCTCCTCTTCCTCTTTCCTCCTCACTACTGTCACTCCCGCGGCGGGGCGTCGAACTACCGTCCTTATCTTCTGCCTCCTCACACAACCGTGCTGATCCGGCTGACCGGTTTGGATTTGGACCCTCCCCCCTGCCCTCCCCCAGCCCCCTGGTGCAGGGAGAGTGGGGGTGTTGGGCGGCGGAGGTAAGGGCGAGTGCGGAGGAAAGGGCGAGTGCGGAGGAGGAGGCGGGATGGACGACAGCTGCTGATATTGGGGTCCATAGGGCTGCGGGGGCGTCTGGCTGACGAGGCGTGCCGAGGGCGTCTGCGGAGGAGGCGTGGAGAAGATGAAATGGGTGGAGGGGGAGGCGGAAGGGGAGGGGCTTAGAGGGGAGTGTGTGAGCACGGCATGGTTGTGAGAGTGTGTGTGCGCGTGGGGGTGAGGCTGCGAGTGGGAGATGGTCAGCGGGAGTTTGCCTCCACCGCCGACCCCCGGCCTCCCCGAGTGGTAGAGTCCGTGCGGGGTAGTAGGGGTTAGGGGGGAGTGAGGGGAGAGTGGCGGGGGGGTGATGAAGCCCAGATTGTAGCGGGGGTGCTGTCCGCCGCCATGCTGCAGCCGCTGGTGCTGCGGGGGGTGAGAAGGGGGGGGGACCCTGCCGCCGGGGCGGGGCGGAGAACCTGTGAGAGAGGGTGAGGTGCGGGGGGGCGCTCTGCATGTGGTACCGGTGGTGGTGGTGGTAGGGAGGGGGCGGAGTCTGCTGTTTGCTGGATCCCACTGACTCCGCCTCCTCCACTGTTGCCGTGGCAATACTGGGCGTGCAGCGCCTGCAGCTTGGACGGCCCGAGGCCTCCAACCCCTCCCAAGTCCGACTGAGCGAGGTTGGGCAATGGGGAGGGGCACGGGGAAGGGGAGGCTGGGTGGGCGATGGGGGGGGCGGGGGCGGGGTAGTGAGGGGGGGAGGAGATCATCAGAGGACTGGGAGGACCCTGAGGAGGAGGCGACGTCATCGTCAAAGGAACGGGAACTTTGCCTCTCCTGCTCCCAAAAAAGTTCCCCAGCAGGCCGCCGCCGCCACTCGGGCCTCCCACCCCCACCATCCCGCCTCCTCCCCCAGCCCCTACCCCGCTCACGAGAGGGGAGGTGCTGATCCCCCCCGGGTTACTTAAGCCTTGAAATATGGACACACAGGCAATTGTTATGAAAATGTCTGTTTATTGTTGGCCATTTTAATTGAACTTATAGTTATTGAACTTCATTTAATTTGAGATTTCCCCCCCAAAGGTTAAAAGTCATAGTGACACTTTATGACGGAGGCAGTTTTGTGACTAGCTGTCCACTCACTCAAATATAATATATAAAATGATACCTGTCTATGTTTATGGGTCGCCATTAAAAAAAACTAGATTTCAATAAAACTGTCACTCCTGTTTTCTTTTTGATGTAAGAGAAATAGCTCCTAATATAAATACATCACTGTAGAAGCTCTGTTTTATATTAATCATATACATGTATTTTATTTATCCTGAGGACAGTGTATTTAAGAATAAAAGGTTAAAATAATGCTAAAAAAAACCACAAAAATATTAAATAAATATGTATAAATGAATATATTTCAATGAATACAGTGGTGTATAAGTATTAACAAAGATATTAATGGTAGAAAACGGATTATTTTGAGTAAGTTTACTGTTTGTCTGAACTGTCAGGATTGTAAGATATTGTTGGTGAATGTCTGAGATGTGTTCATGGTCTGCTGAGGAGCGTCGGTGTGTTTTTACCAGGAGGCGTCCAGGGACAGCAGGTCGATTCCTCTCTGTAACATCGGCTTGAACCTCAGAGTCAGAGGGAACGGCACCTTGGCTGCAAGACAACAACAACAACAATCACAAACAAACAGGAATAGGGTTGGGGTTATTTAATTTGACTTTAAGTCCCAAAGAAGAATAAGTTAGAGCGACTTTAGCTTCTGTGCTGTGATCGGCCCCAAAATTGGCGATCGGAACATCCCTAGTGTTTTCTTAAAAACTCAAAATATTTTAAACAGTCTGACTTTTTCTTTTTAAATAAGCTTTGAACATGTGAATCAAAAAAGTTGTATCTTTAATAAAAAAAGGGTTAAAAAGCTAACCAGTGTTAATGGTGTTATAGCAGGGGTGGGGAACCTCCGGCCCCCGGGCCGTATACGGCCCGCGAGACCATTTGGTACGGCCCTCGAGGTAATTTATAAACACACGCAAAAAAGAAAAAAATGTAAGAAATCTAGACCGCAAAATAATTAAACAAGCGAGTGCCTTTTTTTCCTGGCCAAGGTCAGGGTCCTTGAACACAACACGAGCCTAACGTGTCATCATGTGGTATATGTCTCGTCTGACAGAGGTGTAGTTCTGACGGAGAGCACCAGAACGCGACTCCGGCACTTCAGAAATGTCAGTGCCCATAAGGAGCCGTACACATGCCACAGTTTTTGCGTGGCTGTGTCTTTAGTTGTAAGCCCAGTGGCGATCTGTTCATCTGTCATACTGATCATACAGTCAATAACTTTGTTGTTATTAGCATCTGGTTAGCTAGCTATGCTAACGAATATAAGAAGCTTTTTCTCCAACCAGTGAGGTAGGCACATCTTTATATGATCATTATAGTTATCAAAAAACAAGAGAATAAAGTAAACAGGTATAAAATACTATATTACAGTAAAAAAAAAGTTGTTATTAATAAACAAGAATACAGTTTGAAAGGAGAGTGATTTGTAAAATATCCATAAAGAAAAAGTTAATCTGCTTACAGTTCTGTTTCATCTGGGTGTTGAGAGATGTTTCCATAGATCTCTTAATGTTGCTCTCAAAGTGCACCAGATTGATGCTTTCAACTTCAACATTTAAAATCTTCCTGGGGGAACATGCCTGGATGCATAACCCCCCTAGAGGAGGTTAGGCCCCCCCGAATCTAAATACATTTGCACACATCTTGTGTCCATATCTTTCTGTTTTGGCGGTCATGCCACATCGTGCTCGTGAATGCATGCGCGAGTCATGGTGAGATATCTGGATTCAGAGGTTGCTCTTTCTTTGCACAGCATGAAAGAAAGGCCAAATTAATGGGCTGTGATTTTGGTGTGTTTAAGCAGAGGTCAATCATTTGTACGGCCCCCTGAGGATGTTGGAAAAATTGAGAGGAAAAAGGTTCCAAACCCCTGTGTTAAAGGGTTAATGACTAACAGCTGGAGAACTCACTTATGACGAACCCAGAGAAGGCCCAGTTGATCCAGCCGCCGATCACAATCATGGGCAGCACGTTGGTCAGGTTCCCCTTCATCATGTCCGTCAGCATGCTGGTGTCTAAAAACAAATACACACACATTTATAATAGACATAAACTACATTTAGATAATGGCTGAAGTGCTCATGTCAATTAATACAAAAAATGAAAATGAAATACAAAACAAAGAAACTGCCTTAGCGAAAGGATCAAATCCAAAACAGTTTCCTTTTTTAAGTTCGGGAAAACAGAAATGAAAAGTATATATTAACACACGGAAAATAAATTGAAATTAAAACTTATTATACTTCCTGCCTCGGGCAAAAATTAAGTGTGTGACACCTTAAGGCAAGATCAAATCTGTAAATCGTAGGACACACACACACACACACACACACACACACACACACACACACACACACACACACACACACACACACACACACACACACACACACACACACACACACACACACACACACACACACACACACACACACACACACACACACACACACACACACACACACACACACACACACACACACACACACACACACACACACACACACACACACACACACACACACACACCCACACACACACACACCTGTCATGGGGTTCTTGGGGACAACCTTCCTCTTGACCTTCTTGAAGAAGCCGGTCTCTGCGTCGTTGAAGTAATGTTTCCTCATGGCGAAAGACTGCAGCAGAGAAACATGTTTACACACAACAGATCAGAGCCTTTCGATGTATTCACTCACAGTAAGTCCTTTAGGATCTCATTTAAATGTTTATTATGGTACATTTAGCAAATACCAACCTATATAACTTTAAAGAGAATTTTAACATTCTTTAACCTGCCAGTGATTATATGTGTTACTGGGTTTTAATTTGAAAAGACAAAACATGAGTACAAACCTCAAAAATATGGAAAGTAGTTAATGTAACTAATAAAAGAAAAACTATTATAATACATCAAGTTTAACGTCTATCATACAGCTCAAAATGACGCTGTCGTTTTTGGGTCTATATTTTTTTTTATAGAGAAATTGTAGAGTTTCTAATTGGCGTTTTAACTTTTGAAAGAAATATTACTATACGATTACAAGTAGTAAAGACAGCATTAGCACTAAATGTATATGATTTTAAATTCCTGATTCCTAGAGATTGTGTGCTTACCTGTTTGGGAATATACTTTCCATTTTCTCTGAGGACGCGGCTGCGCAGGAGCACCTGGCTGAACACAAACACAAACAAAAATACACATTAGTCCACGAGCAAATTCTCAAGCATCAATCCAAACATTCGAAAAATGAAGTTTATTATAACTTCAAAGTCACTGACTTGTTGCTGCCAAACGAACTATACTTCTGTATGACTGCTATAACACTTTTGAATTGACTCACCACCCTTTTTGTTGTTGTTACGAAACTTTCGGATTATTCTTATTATTCTCATATAGACATATAGGGAACATACACACCTTACTTAAGCAAACACATAGTAATTGATGGCAATATCGTTTTTTGTATGATCATGTATGACAACTTGACTTTCTGTTAAACACTTTGTCTGTTTACTCTTGGTAAACAGACAAAGAATAAACAAATTGTTTTAATTAAAATGATCCCTCACCTGTCAGACACCTGCTCCAGGTCGATCTTCTTGTCGCTGTGCAGCAGCTGCGTGACGTAGTGACGGATGATCCCCACGAAGAAGGTGATGAAGACGATGGGCAGGACGACCCACATCCGAATGCTGGAGTCCAGCAGGAGCTCTGGACCGGCCATCGCTCTCTGTTCAACCAGCCGACCGTAGAAAGACAGGGAGACGCTCTGAAAGAGAGAACACCCCATCAAATATACATTACAACAGACTTAATGTCACAATGTTTTATATTTCATATATCCATTACATTACATGCTTTATCCAAAGTGACTTACATACATTCGGTACTGTGGGCAATCCCCAAAGGAGCAATTTGGGGTGAAGTGTCTTGCCCAGGGACACAACGACATGCTGACTGCAGTTAAGATCAGCGCACTAACCCACTGAGCCACAACCTTCCATAATGATAATGTCAGGAGCAGTGCAGGACCAGAGCACTCTGAAGTGGCCCAGTGTTCTCCACTCTCCTGTTGATCTGTGGTGTGGTATAAACCAGAGTCTATGGTCTTAGACACTCTGGCTCTGATCACACCAGTGCAGTTTATACAGAGATATAGTACAGTTTATACAGAGGTATCAGCAGGGGCTTGAACCTGTGACCTTCTGATCACAGACACAGTGGATTAGTGAAGTGAGCTATAGCCTAGGTTACAGCTAACACATGTACTGTGTCTTCTGCTGCTGCAACAAGAATGACTTAATATGGTATCATTTAGGTAGGCTACATCTAACTTACTATAACTACACAACGTCGAACATTGGATTCAGTGACACAAGTGCTGCCAGAACAATATAGAAATCATATAAACTGACCATATCAATACATATTGATATTATAACAAGATGTATATCATTCTGAAATGAGCCTGCATTATGTGTACTCTTACTTTCATACCTGTAGTGTATTCGGATGCCTATATTTCTGTTTTTAAAAGTAAGGTAGCTTAAGGTTTTGAATGAACGACTTTCAGTTGTATCAGTGAAAGATCTTTTGACACATTAACCGACCTGTTACAGGCAGCAGAGGACATGACGAGCAGCTAACGGCTAACCAAAACAAAACACCAGGACACCATTTAAGCTCCTGTCGTAGCTTTTAACACAATGAAAATAATCTCGTCTAACATCCTACTGACACATGCCCCAACTTCATTAAACAACAACCAGCTGATGTTAGAATTAGCGGCTGTGTCACCGAATATATAGTTAGCTAAAGACGGCTAACTATGCTAAAGCTAACCTAGTTCCTCTTTGAATGAGTGTTTCTACAAATCGTTTGTTTCCATGACAGCACGGTTTATGTTGCAGACGTTGGGGGACAGATATTTGCTGTTGATATTTGAAAAGAGGTGTTCATAATTAACGTAAACTTACCACATTTATGAACTTTGTGAAAGAGCAACGCGACACACGTTCGACAGTTTTAAAACACGACGAAGGACTTCCGGTTCGACCGGAAACAGTGGATTCGATGTAGTGGTAAAATCTATGGGTAAAATCAAATGTATGTTTTTTAAGTTTTGTATGCAATCATAAAATAAGAGTAACAAATACGACGTTTAAAATATAGCAAATACATTTTAAAGTGCAAGGAGTGGTTCAATTAAGGATTAAAACACCTCATCAGTGGCGGAATAGCTAAACTCAGAGCCATATAATATGGCTCTGCTCCGTTCACTCCAATGGACCACTTGACCGAGCGTCAGACATGCCCGCCGGCAAGCTTCAACGCACACTGCGCCGCGTGTAAGCTCCGTTATGCATTGCATTTTCCATCAGATGCTAATTATTGTTTTTTAAAAGTTTTTTTCGGCTCAAGAAGCATTTTCTGACAAAGGAACATTTCATCTTGAAATCAACACATACCTGTTTTTTACTGGACAGAAAGAGGATGAAAAGATGAAACAAATGTAATTGAACAGTCACTATAATGTTATATTAAATGATAATACAAGTACCTCAAACTATAACACCATATATTATTTATAATTATAAAACGGATAAGTCAAATCAAGCAATCTGATTGGTTCTTAGCCGTGATATAATGAGCGTATATCACGGGTAGAATTATAGTTACTTTTCACAAGTCAGTATCCCTCCGCGAAAAAGCTACACCCGTTACAACTGTTACATTACGTCCGATACGAAACGGACTAACTAACAAAGCTTAAGATGGAAACATTTAAGGTTAACTTGGACCTCTGGGGGGGCCTTACTATGGAGGAGTGGATTGAGCAGTGCCTATCTCCAGAAAAAAAAAGCACCTAAACGACGACATGCAGAGCTACGTGAAGAGCAGGCCGACCAACTGGAAAAAAAACCGAAACGAACAGAACACCGTGAAGCACACAAAATGGGTGGCTAAGTGCTTTGAAGACTGGTGTCAGGATAAAGCTGTGGTCATAGACTTTCAGACGTCGAAAAACAGCAGCTCAATAACATGTTGAGAGATTTCTATGCAACTGTCAAATAATAATAGCCAAATAATCGATCAACGCTGTCTGTCGCCAGCTAGCTGTTACAGTACGTCCACAAGGTTCCGTTGCGTGCTTCAACAGAGACGCTTCCCATTGACTTTGAATGGGGGACGTCAAGCTTTGCCGAACTGCATTGTGGTTCCGTTGCGTCACTTTGCCTCCGTTCCTCGCTTCGAAAGTTGAGAAAAGTTCAATTTTTCAAGCGCAGACGGAAGCGCAAGCCAATCAAATTGCGTGCTTGTGTGTCGGGTCGGGAGATTCATGTGATTGGTTGTTGGTCGCACGCCAGACACGCCCACCGGCAAGCTTCAACGCGACGGAACCGTGTGGACGTACCGTTAGTGTTGTTGCATAGCAACCACCTCGCACTGTTTTGTGTAGAAGGCAACGGAGGGACTATTTTATTTTGAACATCATTATTTACTAATAATATTTAAATTGGAGCGTATTTTTCTTTCATATTGCCATAGTTGGTAACCGTTTTATAACGCTTCGCATCGGGCCGATCAACGGCCCGAACAACAGCCCTTAACTGTGATATAATGACCATATACCACGGCCTGTCGTGAGCTATTGCTTAAATAGTTTTCTGCCTTTCTCGTCACTGCTCGACTCTATTGGCTAGCGCTCCAACACATTGTACGTGATAGGCTAAGGGGCGGGACATCTCTAAGCGGTTGACCAATCACAACAGAGCCAGCTAACCAATCAGAGGAGACTGGGCTCTGGTTTCAGACAGAGGGTGAAAAGAGGTGCTGCAGCACAGGCAGTATGAGAAAAATAAAGAGCTTTTTGAACATTAAAGCATGGAGACATGTCAGAGAGACACTACATACTGATATACACCTGCACATCAGCAGGAGAGGACTCTTTAAAGTAGAGACACTACATACTGATATACACCTGCACATCAGCAGGAGAGGACTCTTTAAAGTAGAGACACTACATACTGATAAACACCTGAAAATGATAGGCCCTCTTTTTAAAAGAAAATAAGAACACACTCTCACCATAAGGTGACAACACAGAGCTGACAATATATAAACAAAATGGAAAATCCTACTGTGTATCAAACGTATGGAAATGTTATGAATGTTTTGTTTCTGGTGTTTCAAGCAGCCAATGAATTTCACAAATGTTTCTATATGAACACTTACTTTAGTAATGTTATCCATCACATTTTCAAAGTACTCCATTGCAAGTTAAAGTCCTTAATATTGTTAATTAAGTAGAGGTATTAGATTCAAAATATACTATATAATATAAATAAAGTAAGTACATAATATGCGGGATGGCCCATTTTGGATAAAATATAAAGATTATAATAATACATGTTACTTTGTTGCAGATGATAAAGGTGGAGCTGATATAGAGAATTATCGTCCAGGAACTTTTACCACAAAATTATATTTTATTTAATGGACTTACTGATAGTTTTTTTTAAAGTTAAATATTCCCCTGTTAAGTTTGTGCTTTAGAAAAGTGAGAACATATTTGATTTCAAGGAATTTCAAACATTTTCAGGGAAAGTTACAGAGAAAATATAAAATATTTGAAATAGGTATTTCCTTTGACTTCTTTCTATACATCACAGCAGTGGTTCTCAACTGGTCAGGCCTCGGGACCCACTTGTCAATAGATCGCGATCCGAACATATAAATTACGCATTCTGGTACACTCTGAGAAGAAAATAAATAAATCTATTACTACCCGACATTTTAATAATATTTTATGTCATTGTTTGTGTTTCACTTTGTTCTGAAGCTGAACTTGCTGCTCCTCACAGAGAGAAGAGCAAAGAGGAGAGAGTCTGTGTGAATTACTTTAAATTGTGGGTAAGGGTAGATAGCCCCCATTGTTCTGTGACCTGTCAATCATCAATCCGGGGGTCATATTTCATGATATGAAATGAATTTTTCTTCACTCAGGGCCCACTCGAAACGGGTCCGCGTCCCACTTTTGGGTCGCGACCCACCAGTTGAGAACCACTGCTTTACAGCAGGCCCAGCTTCATTTTGAACTTCTACTCCACTTTAACACATCTTAGTTCACTTTTCAAGTCTCATACAATACTCACTTTCATATCTCCTGTGTCCGGTGCCTTGCTCAAGGGCACCACGGCCAAGGAGGTGAGACCTCTCCAAATAGCAGTTGGAGAGGTCTCGACTAACTCCCCTTTTGTGTATTTGCCCAGACGTTTAATACTTTTCGCCTCATTCTGAAAGAAAGAGGTGAAATGTGCTAAGGTGACGGCCATCTTGGTGACGTGTGTTGTGTGAGACCAGAGATGTAGTTCATGGAGCGGTTTCACACAAAATAAGTGTTACTTCACAGTTTTACCACAAACCTTTTTTTTTCTTGACTTGCAAAATTATCTTTTAAATTGACAAACATCATATGTGAGTTGAGTCACGAGGCCGAGTTCGAGTCCGCGCCAATCAGTGCGCGAGTCGACTCTCTCTCTCGAGTGCCGATTTTCGGGACTCGAGTACTCCGTCTCTGCTATCAGCTGACGCCAACAGGCAGGAGCAGGGAGACACAACACTGAGAGCAGCCAAAGGTTTCAGGCCTGATCTCAGCGAGATCAAACTGATAAACTGGGTCAAAGTTATGGGCCGAGGAAAATGTTTCCCCAACACCCCCCACACGAGTGACAATCCAGGGAGCGGACATTGAGATTGTGAAATCTTACAAATACCTGGGTGTTCATCTGAACAATAAACTGGGCTGGACTGATAATTCTGCTGCTCTGTACAAGAAGGGACAGAGCAGACTCTTTCTGCTGAGGAGACTGAGGTCTTTCGGGGTGCAGGGGGCACTCCTTCAGACATTTTATGACTCTGTTGTGGCATCAGCCATTTTATATGGTGTGGTCTGCTGGGGCTGCAGCATCTCGGCTGCTGACAGGAAGAGACTGAACAGACTAGTAAGGAAGGCCAGCTTTGTGCCCAATGTCTCACAGAGAGATATTCACAGCTCCTTCCTTCCTGCAGCGGTCATACTGTATAACCCTCATGGTCCCTGGTAGACCCCCACACATATAACAACAAAGACTATGACACCTCTTGTTGTGCAATACCAATTATGTGCAATATATACATATGCCGTAAATAGCTGTTAGAACTGTTACAGGATGTGTATTTTGTAAATTGTGTAATTTTTGTATCTTTAGTATTTTTGTATGCATCCTTCTTGGTCTTTGGCTCTTTTCTTGCTGTAACAAATTCAAATGTCCCCTCTGTGGGACGAACTGTTTCTGATTCTGATACTGATTGTTTGAGATAAGTTGAGTTATTTTTCAATCGCCTCACGCAATGTTTTTTAAATGTCTTATTATTAAACCATTATTCAAGTCCCATTGAGAATGAATCATCCAATGGAGCCCTGGTCAAGACATGGGCAACAGTATTTCCTAACAAACTAGCCTACATGCAAACATTTGAACATGTAAAACAAACACACTACTTTTACGATGACACCCACATGAACTTTGAAACACACATGCAGTATCAGCTGTATGCAAAGGACGAAAAGGGGAACAGACCAAAGATGGACTGATGAATTCATTGGAAGAGTCAGCAGGAAGTCAATGAAAGCCACATAACTTTGAATATGTATATGTGATCCTTCCCTTTACCTCCGTTTCCTTCTTTTGCCATTCGTGCTTCAGTGTAATGTGGCTCTTGGATATGTGTTGGGAAAATACTGAATGTACTTTTCCAATATCAGAGTAACATGATAACAAAGGCCCAACTGTAGCTGTGTACATGACAGGATATATGATTACCTAGAAGAGCATCAGGACTGTTTTAGGCATATGAAAGTGATTAACATGATGATTCAGCCTCTATGGAGATAGACATATGACTGTTATGTTTATTGCTTACGTGGGTCTTAGCTAATCTGAACCAAGCATTTAAACCGGTATACATGTATCTTGTGACTGTGTAACTCCCTCTCTTGTATATCAGCGTGTGAAGGACACTGTTCAGGAACTAGTTGAACTAAATGCTCTGTATGTGATGACT